GTGGTGTTAGCTTTAGCTTAGCTCTTAGCCCGCCGCGTTTCCCCCGTCTTTGTTCACGTTCTCTGCGCGGTCTGCGAGCACTTCCGCTTGTATTGCTTGTATTTTGGTATTACATTCTTTTTCTGTTTTTTAAAGGAAATGTACTGTATTTTAAGAGAGTAACACGTAATTTTATGTTAATATTTACAGATTATTCCTGTTAAAATAAACTGTAAAAATAAATGTTATTTTACAGATAATTGTCTGGTTTTTTTTTACTGAATTTTCCTGTTTTTTCATTATACAGTGAAATATATATATTTTTTTACAGATATTTTTTGTATTTAAAAATTCCAACATTTAATTTACAGGTAATTGTTAGTATTTTGGTATTACATGTTTTTTCAGGTAGCGCAGTGGGTAGCACGATTGCCTCACAAGAAGGTCGCTGGTTCGAGCCTGTTCGAGGCTTACATGCAATTTTTATACAATAGCTCAATTAAATAAATATTTGTAAACAAGGTTGGCACTGCAGTTGCTGAATAAATTATAGCAAAGCTGCTAAAAATGCAATATGGTGAGCATGTTGGAATGGGTTTCATGTGCTCCACATGTTATAACATGGGTTAGACTATTTGTCCAACTTTAACTGCCAGCTGTTCACAGGATAACGTGTCATCTCGAACAAGTCTCCACATGTGGTCACATGAACTTCATTCGTGGTCACATGTGATGATTATGTGGATTTACGTGACTTTTCTGTAGCCTGTTAAAGTGAAGATTAAATTAAAGTTATAAATGTCAAATAATAGCCTAGTATTTTAGGCCACATACTGTACAGTATATGCACTGTAAAATACAAACAAAAAAATGCTCATTTTAATTATTATATTTATTTTCTATAATATTTATGATGTACGCTATTATACATTTCTAGTAGTGACTAATCACACATATTACTTGTGTATGCATGTTATGACCTGTAAACATTTTTTCTAATCAATCTTTACAGTTGCAATGTGAAGTCAACAAAAAGTTAACTAAACATATGATAGCAGGGTGTAATCGGGCCGAGCTCGGCTGCCCTTCGGCGCCTCCGGCTTCGACTCGACATCAGTGAGTGTTATCCGGGCCGGGTGCGGCCCGCAGCTCGCTCGCGCACATGCGGTTGTGATGCGGCTGTAAAGCACTGGCCCGATTCCAGTCATTCATTTCCGGCCCGAGTCTGTCTGTAGAGTCCGGGCCGCTTCTGGCAAGGACTCGGCTGATGGCAACCGATTAAATTCTTATTTTATCTAGTAATCTGTTAGCTCCACGTTTAAAGATAATTTGAGAAAATATTCATGGTAGGACAGCAACAAAATAATAAGAATATTTAGTGTGGATGGTCGAAATGTTTAGACGCAAACAAAACAATGCTATTTATAAATGGACTATATATATCATCTAGAGAAAAACGGTGAAAAATGCGCTTATTTTCGAGACGGCACGCTCCTGTGCTGACTGTTTTTTTAAAGCAGAAGTTGGTTTCATAAGAAACACATGTAAGAGTAGATGAGATATATCTAGCTGCAGAAACTCAGTAAAGCAGTAAACTCCTGATCCATACTTCAATCCAGGCGGTGGAGTTAATGCTCCAAAAAGCTGGTTGCCGACCGCCATGAAGATCACAGGAAGAAAAAGAAGTTTGTTTGGTTTTTCAAAACTTTCACGTAGATTCCGGTCAAAAAGGTAAGATTTTTACTGCTTGTGTACTGTATACTTTGCGAATTTAGAGCTTAAAAGATTTTTCCAAAGTGTTTGTAACAGCGTTTAGTAATTTAAAACAATTTGATACAAAATGTAACTTGCTTTAAGAAACACGACTGGAGCTAATGTAAGTTATGCTAGCGCTAACGTTACAAACACGTCTGAAAGTTCCTGTTCCTTTAACATAATGTTAGACTGTAACGTGTTTATTAACTGACAACTATTTTAATTGTTTTAAAGAAACATTAAACAAATTGGTGTGTAAGCTAACTTTACGTTAAAGAAAGTTTCTGTAGACGAATCCATTAACACTAACATGGCAAAACATGTGCTTTTAATTCATATGTGAATCAATTATATCTTTTGTTCAAGCTGTAATGTTCAGTTAATGTAAAACTGAACGTCTTAAAGCAGATTTTGATGTTTTTTTTGTTTTGTTTTTTTGTTATTGACAAAAATTCTGATTCTGATAAATTCTAATTTAAATGAATGGGTAACAATATTTGTTGGTTAAGTCTTATTGTTTTTGTTTAGCAAAGGTTAGTGAGTTTTTTTTGCAGCACATCACGACCAAAGATGCCAATGGCACACTCTTATGAACATGTGAATAGACATATATAGTTAGGTGCTTAAAGTCCATTATAAGCTGTAAACTGCTGATACATTTTCAACATAGAATGAGCTTTTCAGACTTTACATTACTAATTGCTTCACAAACAGCTGAAATGGTTTATTGTTATTGGCTATCATCATCAAACATTTTTCACAATGGTAGGTTAATCTTCATGGGTACAGAATAATGCATGTGCTTGACCATCTTACAAATCTATGTCTCAGATTCATAAGGCTGTCACTATGCATGAATCTACTAAAAAATCTTGTAGGCATTAATTAACTTTGATAGTATTTCAGGATTTGAACTTTTCTTTACGGGAGGTTAACAACAATGTGATGTTTCATTATAGATCATATGAGGAAGCTCGACTCAAACATTCACACGCAACTGTGATTTCTGACTGGTAGACAGATGAGGATGATGATCGCCTGTCATACATCTAAAGACAGAACAGGTTTGTTTGCAATTATTTAAAACACATACTGTCAACATTATGTCATTGATCTATTACAACCAGCGAGTTTTGCCCTGGCACTATAATAAAAAAGTGATGTTTTGTTTTGTAAATGTATCTGATCAAGGGACATTAAAGACAACTATACAATGATGAAGAAAAATTACTTGGAACAAAGAGGCTGGATAAAAGGCAGGTATGAAGATTTCAGAAATCAATGCAGCACCACAAGTACCATCACCATCAATGACTATGGCAGAAATCTTAAGACCACCTTCAAGATGCACAGATACTGTACATTCCAGTACACCTATGAACATTTACAGTCCTTGTTCTAGTGCAGTTGGAGATCAAGACAGAACTTATTGCAACTCGTCATGTCTTTGTAAGAAATCAAGACATCACTAAACTTGTAAAGGCTTAATGCAGCTAGAAAATAAAGATAAACTAGAGGATATCAGTAGTGTCTAACCCACTGTAGTATTTACACAAGTTGTATGAGAATAAGCTACAGGTTGATTTATACTAATTTGTTATTTTTCTTTTTTAGCACGACTGAATAAAGATTTAAAATCACACAACGTCATAAAGCAGCAGCTGGGTCTGATTCTCATAAACCAGCAAAACCAAAACAGACGTGATGAAATTCCAGATGTAAACACATTTGACCTTTCTTTGGCCAATTTTACTTGGAAAAGCTTAAATCAACTAAATGAGCAGCCCGAACAAATGAAGAAACGGGTAAGTTCAAGCTCTTGCTAATTTCGAAGTGTTTTAAGTTTATTTGTTTTATTTATTTATTTGTTAGTTTGTTTGTTTTTTTGCTTTGTAGGTAGGCTACTTTGGAATCATTGGTGTTTTGCACTAAGCAGTTGGCCGTATCCTGGAAAAGCTTTTGGTTAACTCCTTGACTAAACAAATTAACTGGAGCGGGCCAAATTAAAAAGTGGCCTTTCATGCACTCCTCCTTAATACTGTCAGAGTTAGTAAGTTGGTATTGAATATACATTTTAATACAATTAGGAGCCGTTTCATCTGTGCATTTCTTTGAATTATTAACCAGAGGAACAAAAAAATCTATATATAGTCCCATTTAGGTTTTACTTATATGAGAGCAAGCATCTTTCTTTTATTTTTTTTACATTAGTACTTGTTCATTACTAATTATCAGTTTATCTTTTAATCACAGATGCAGTGAGGACAAATGTCTATACCACGCCACTGATAAAGAGATTGAAAAATGCATTACATGGTGGCTACAACTTGCTCCTGACAGGGATGGAGGAAGGAGGGAAGAAGAGAAAGCTAATGTGTCAACTGTCTACATCACTATTCTATTCTGTTTTATTTTTTAAACAACATTTTAAGTGTATTAAGATGTTCCCTGATACTTGAGCAATTTGTTTCCTTTCATTTGCATTTATATATATATATATATATATATATATATATATATATATATATATATATATATATATATATATAAACAATTTGTTTTTCTTGCAATATACGTTTATCATGTATTTATTTTGTCCTTTGTCTGATTCTTTTCGTTATAGGATATGTATGCAGTTTGCATTTTATTCAAAGGTTAAACACAGTCCCTATACTTTCTGTTTACATTATAGCCTGCGTTTGCTGTTATATAAATTCAAATGGTTGTTATATCAAATATCAATGTAATACCAAAAGGTTTTATAAGGTATATAAATACTGAGTCGCGCCAGCATCCTGGCCGCAGCGCACATTTCACTCGGGTCGCTTACGGCCGCCGCATCTGGCCCGAATCGGGCAGTGAGTCCACAGGCCCGAGTACGACAGACGGAGTCGGGCCGAGTGGTAAGTCTCCGGCAGGCGACAATCTAGCCGGAACTGGCCCGAGTGTATTTTGCCATAAGTGATAACATGTAAAAGTATGGTAATAATCTGTATAACTAACATAATAACTTGTGTAATTACATATATAACTTGTATAATTAAAGTAATAACATGTATAATTACAGTAATAACCTGTATAACTACCATAATAATGTGTATAATTACATAAATAACTTGTATAATTAAAGTAATAACATGTAAAATTACAGTAATAACCTGTATAACTACCATAATAATGTGTATAATTACATTAATAACTTGTATAAAGTAATAACATGTATAATTACAGTAATAACCTGTATAACTACCATAATAATTGTTAGAAATTTATTACTTATTAATTGTAGCTCTTTCATTTCTTTCTATGAATGTAGCTGTGTTATGCCAATGTATGTTATATAGTTGTGTCATGTTTATGCATGTAATTTAGCTGTGTCATGTTCATGTATGTACGTCAAGAGGGGCCAGGGTCTGTGGTGCCAAGGCCAGATAATACAGAACGTAAAGGACCACACCCGGCCAATTCCTAGAACACCAGTTGTTTACACATGTGTATAAAAGTGGTTGGAAGGAAAGAGTTGTTGTTGAAGATGGCCTGAACATACGTGAGGGACACCTCCAACCCGGAGCTCTGTATCTATTGAATTATTCAAATGTATTCATTAAATGGCTAATACTTTTGCATTGAAGAAAAACCTCTCCTGACTCTCATTGAACACGCAGGGAAATAGTTAATGACATCAAAAAATCCCAACAATTGGTGACCTCTGACGTGGAGGGGGAGAGAACATTGATCTGTCGTGTTGCATTGACATCAAGGCATGCCAAAACATAAGGTAAGCAGAAAGCCTGTTTTATTCGAATTTCTGCTATTGGCTACAACTAAATTGATTGATGTCATGTGATATGTAGGATTGATGTAGTTAAAATTTTAAAGCATTTGAATAATTCGATGATTTTAAATGTATATATGTATTAAGTGTTGAGCAGAATTATTGTTGTCAGATTAAAAGTGTTGAAAGAGGAAGACTTTGTGTAGAGAGGAAGACTTTGTGTAAGAGGAAGACTTTGTGTAGAGCAGACAGTAACTACGGCATGGAAAAGAACATATAGTAGGCCCGCCATGAAATTCACTAAGTTAAGAGGGATGAAACATGATGAAATAATATTTAAGTAAATAGTTATATGAGCGGAAACTTGTGTTGACTGTGCCCCGGTAAAAGTGACGACTGGCCGGTTAAAATTGGACTATAAAAAGGAGTGGAATCCCGAAAAACCAGGAAGAGGTGGTTTTCGAACTTTTCTGGGGGCAGATCCCGACATTTTAGTAGGTCCAAGTGTCGAAGATAGGATTAGGGAAAGATTGTAAAAAAGTAGGGGAAAGTTAGTTCGCTGATGAGATTGTGACTGTGTATGAAAATACATGGAATAAGTCAATTGCGTGAAGGCGAATGTAAATAGAGGAACGAGAATTGAGAAGTCTGGAGGGCGCGCATTTTTATTTTGGTCGATCATTTTTGTAAGTAACAGCTTAAATGAGTTATCATATGCATATTTAGTGGGTCATAAATACACATTTTATATTGAATTAAATGTAATTTAAAACTGAGATTTCCGTATTTTTTAAAGCCTAAAAAGACTACTACTGTGGGTGAATTTGATCAAGAATGTGAGTAGTATGGAAACAGACAAAAACAGAATTATAATTACAGCGTCACAAAGTAGGAAATCAATTACTGAGGTTGAGAAAAATAAAAAATTTAATTAAAAAAAAGTCTGCCTGAGGTGGGGGTAAGAATCTTTCTATTTACAGAATAGAGTCTGTGAAATGGCAAACAGAGGCAGAATAGGATAAAAGAGAATATCAAACTATTAGATCAGATAATGATAATAATAAGACTAATAATAATAATAATAATAATAATATAATAATAATAATACGAATATGATGATGATAAGACTAATAATAATAATAATAATAATGGGTACAATATAGGTTATTAAATAAATATATATTGTAAAGCAGTGTAATAAGATAAGTGAAATAAAGAAATGCCGAAAGTAAGAGTAAGATATACTCAATATCGTTATATTAGTTGAAATGGAATGTGAAGCCATATGAATGAATATAGTAATAAAGAAATAAATTTACCAAATAAATAAATATGATTAAACAATAGATAAGTTAGTACATTGATTAAAATATACATGTATAATAGAAAATGATATAGTAAAATTACATTACAATGTAAAGACCAGCTAGTAAAGAACTATTAGATTAGATGAAAAGAAATGGGAAAAGAATGAAGAAAATAACTTGGAGCTAAAGAAAAATAAGCCATTCATCAGCAAAGAGTTTAAATAGATAAATAACTTATTAGTGTATGTATAAATTATTGCAAGTACACTTGGCTAAGTGAAGGTGTAAAAATGGAGAGAGAATTTGACAAAGTGTTTGAGGAGGATGAGACTTTGTTTTGAACAAAATTAAAAGGGCAGTGAGATAATGTAATTAATCAATTAATGAGTGGGACAGAGATAAATAAAAAGCAAGAACTAAAAAGAAATTAGAGAAAGTCAGTATAATGTAAAATGTGCAAATGGCTGGGAAGGTGATCCAAGAGTGAAATTGGCTAAAGTTCTGAGAAATAAAGTCCAGTCTCATAAACAACTTAAAGAACATAGGCAAAATAACTTCAGGGCTATTGGGGTGCCAGAAAAAATATATAAATAAATTAATAAATTAATTAAAATAATTTGAAATAAATAAATAAATAAAACTGAAGAAAGAATGACTAACTTCTTACTGTGCCACAATCTTGCTTTAGCAGATGAGGGGCACGCCCAAGCGAAAGAGCAGAAAATGAGAAGTGAGCACTCAGACAGTCAGAGCAGGAGTGAGAAGAAAAATAAAGGCACTAAAGGCAGTGTGGGGGGTGTGTACCCTGTGATAAAAGCCACTCCTTCTGCTCCAATACAAGACTTTAGGGTGACAGACAGTCAGAAATAGTGGATGAATCAGAAGTTGGGTTCAGCACAAGAATCAATGCAGAAAGTAAGGGAAGCATTAACACAAAAATTAGTAAGTGATAATACAAGATCTAATGTGTAGACATGGAGGCTCAGAGTAGAAGATATTGAGGGAGAAACAAAGAAAGACAAACAGGAAGAGAAATCACTGAATGACACTAGAATTTCCCTATATCCTCTAATAGTAAAAAATGGTAGAGACGAATACCAGCCATGGTGCTTAACTGATATGCATGCTATTATGGAAAGAATTACCACATGTTACCAAAGGGGGAGACAATTGGCTAGCTAGAGTAATCTCGCTAACCCAAGGCCACAGATTAGGCTTTTTCAAGGTATAACGGGGTTTGGAAAAGTCAAGGTTTTAAAAACCGCCAACAATTTTGGTAAAACCGTTCCTCAGGTATGAGTAAGATTTTTTTATTTACTTTTTTTCTCTTTTTTAGTACCTCCAGCAAAAAATATAAAATATATCCAAAGATACTGTTTTAAATTTAAAATAAATCAGTGTTTTTGAAACTAATGAAGACAGCAAAGTCAATGATGCATTTAAATTACATAGCCTGACATGTTTACTTCTCCAAAATAGCATAAATCTTTCGTTTTTTACCCAGACAAGGGGAATATATTTTTGGGCAGTGAGCACAATACTGTGAAACTTTGATATTTTTGTCCAAGGTTATCATACCGTTAGAATCTCATACTGGCCCATGCCTACCACAGATTGGCAGTGAGGGAATTAAGATCTATATTGGGGCAAATAATTTCTAATGGGGAACTGAGACAAATTAAACAGCAAGCTGACACTAATAGATTTTCATCAAGCACTCCTTTTGGCAAACATAGCAACTGCTTGAGGAGCAGTGATTAGAAGAAAGTTTTCAGCACCAGCTGAGGCCATATGTAATATAAAATTGACCCCTAAGGCAAATGAAATACCGGCAGCTTATGTGATGTAGTGCAAACAGGAGTGGGAAGCCCAAACTGGGACACATCCTCTTGCTAACCCCATACATAAAGGGGTGTTTAGAGCAGTCATGGCTGAGAGTACGGAAAGCTGCGTCAAAGCAGCTCTTAAAGAAAAGCCAGATATACCAGGAAGTGCTCCTGCCACCTGTGAGAGACATTTGACACATCGTATGAACAGGGCTGAAGACAAAGCTGACGAGAGTCTGAAATCAAGGAAGAAAAAACTATTATTAAAATTATGAACGAAGCTAGATAGGATGTCAATGGTCAGAACTAAAAAAAAAAAACAGTCAACAATTGGTGCTGTCACCTAAGCCTGAACAACTCTACATGGCACCCGTGTACAACCCAATACCTTAATGCCAACATTAATTTAGAGGACAGAGTAGGGGAGACATGAGAGTTCAATGGGGTCCCAGGGCTGACAGGGGGCGAGAGCGTTGAGAGGGTTACTTCCTGTGTGGGTTACCCAACCATCAAGCATGTGACTGTCAAAGATGCTACACGTGCAATCAAGGGGAACACATTTCAACTAACTGTCCCCAAAGCCAAAACCAACAAGCCCACAGAGGGGGTATGCAAGAAGGCAGAGGCTTCATGGCACAATACACAGGGCTAGCTCTAAACCCTGGCAGACAGAACCCAGAGCGGGGTGGAACACTATATCCACTCTGAGGAGCAAAAGGACAGTACTGAGGAAGCCCACAGAGAGACGGAAGCAGGGCTATGGAGGAGCCAGTGCTATCGATGGATTTTAACGAACACCATCTGAACTTTTTGGTTGACACTCAGGCCACATACTCAATGTTGGTCACCAAAGTCGACCGGGACTTAATTTCACAAAAAAAAAAAAAAAAAAAAAAACTGGAGGTGATGGCTTTCTCTGAGAAATGTGTGTCGAGTTCTTATGGGTTTCACACACCAGTATCTGCTTCTAACTCGAAAGAGCTTCAGCCAATAACAGGGGACACAGGGAACAACTCCAAGGCTTTTTCTGCTTTTGTATTTTAACTTTCAGTTTGCCCAATAATACAATACTGTAGCGCTTGAACAGTAGTAGCGATAACAGTAGCAGCGATAGCAATAGGTTGATAACCTTAGAAAAGGAACAAAATATATAAAATATACATTATTCGCAATACTGACTTAAACAAACACAATGTAATATAAATAAAGACAGTTCCTTCACAAATTTTGTCTCAGCATTATTAATTTGCATATTAAAATAATACTTCTTAATATTAATGCAAGCATTTCACTTTACATAAACTATTTACATAAATGAACAGCATGATTAACTTAATATTGTGCACAAAGTATTATAATGCACAAAATAATGAACTACAGCGCAACAAAATAGTAGCTGTCTTTTATATTGCACATATATTATGAATAAGGCAATGCATGTGGCAGTCCTTGTAATTAGAAATAGTCAATTCTCATACCATCAGTGTCCCTGAGATGACCAAGTGCTGATGTGCCTTCCCTTCCTTACACACTGCAGCTTAAAACTTTCTGCATGCAATCGTGAAAGTTTATTAATGCAGCGATCGCGTTCTTCAGCTTTCACAGCGCGTCTGCATGCATGCACTTGCCATGTGAGTTTTTTTTCTTTCCGCATTCACTCGGCACTTCCCGTATCTCCTCGGCACTTCCCGTATCTCCTCGGCAAGTTCCGTATCTCCTCGGCAAGCTCCGTCAGCCAATTGCTTCCGCCAAACACTTTCAGTTTCGTTAGTTCCGCCTAATTCCTCCATGCATTGATTCGTATGAAGTCCAAATTCGCGATTTGACTTTACACCTCCCACTTGAACTACTGGTTCTTTGAACCCAAGTT